TTAAAACCTGGGCTTATTTGTTCTAGACTTGGCTTACCCGAATGGACAACTCGAGCCGAGGGGGGCTGCGTACCGGTAACCAAAAGATCATCCGGCTTTGCAACTTGTCCGAACCTCATTCTATTTGGAATAGGACACTAACAGAAAGAAGTCACGACCAGCGTGCACTCCTCAAGAGACAGAAGAGAGGGATTTCGTAGCAGTTTATATACATAGTTCAGATAATATCAAAGCGGTAAAAAGCAACGTTTAGCACATTAGGCCCAAACATGTAACAAAATCAGATAAAGCCAAATATAACAATTTATCTAAGCTCGAATTCTGAACCCTGAACAAGAGATTCTGCGTTCGTCGTCCGTAGCAGAGTCGCCAGAGCTGTGACACCTCCTTTTTACTATACACCCGAAGGGTGTAAGGGAGTTTTTTCCAATTAAAGAACAATTAAAACGGGATTATATTATTAAATATTCAGAGTCGCCACTTGGGATAATTATGGTGTCCCAAGTCACCGGTTTAAAATCCCGAATTGAGGAAAAGAATGACTCTGTTTAACAGTCCGCGTACCAAAAATTCGGGTAAGGAATTCTGTTAACTCGGGAGAAGGTGTTAGATATTCTCGAGTTTCGTGGTTCTACCATGGTCGCTCAACTGTTATAATTGGCTTAATTATCTGATTTTAGTAGATTTTGAACCTATGTGCAATTTTTAACCTTTTTCGCTTTTATTTAATTTTAGGAATATTGCAACGTTATTAAAACACGTCTTGAACCACATAAATTCACCCGCGGTCTTCGACATAATTTAACATTGTTGAGATTTGGATTTGGGTCACATAAATGCACACCCGAATTTTAGGAAGATGAATTATTAAAGTAACGCACCTAAAGAAACTACACATTTTTAACTTTGCGAGGGCCATAGAAATTTGCGAAATGGCACGCCTCGAGTTCAAATAATTTTAAAAGAAACAATTAAATGAGGGCCACACATTTTTGAGGTTTTTTATTTGGCGCGGCGCACCTCAATTCTATTTTTAAAGGATATTTAAACTGAAAGCTCGGAGGGCCATAAACTACTTGTGTCACTAATATGGCTCACCTCAATACTTAACGGAGCTTGATTAAGGAAATGGAAAACCTAACAGTTCACGAAGGATTTTATTGAAGTTCAAACTAGAAGAAAGTGAGTCCAACTATTGTTTTAATCCGAGGTCCAAGGCAGCCCAGTATCAGGTTACAAACGTGAGGCCTAAATATATTAAAGGATTCAAGTTCTTTCAATTTTAATACAAATCCAAATAATGTATTTCAAAACCCAACTATTGGCCCAACTTTTAAAATTATTATATGTAGCACACTTATTACCCACAAAAATGCAAATCCGCTGTAAGTATACTCTTATCTTTTGAATACATTAACAATCAGCACTGACTACATTAACAGCCCAAAGTCTAGCATTAATTATTTTGAGATAATAACTAAATTCATGTCTCAACTAATTATAAAAGTTAACATATGTCATTTATGCTACCAGCTATTTAGTAAATTCAAATTGAGATGAAAAATGCTCCAAACATTATCCGAACCCCTGAAGCACATGTACAGATTCACTTGGATCTTAATAAATTACCTAGATCCTCAATCACATGGATTTATTTTAACAAATGAGCGGAGACAAATGACAGAAAAATGAATCTAGCTTCATTGAACATTCATATTTGCTAAGGAAAATTCTAAAGCTAACCTCTGTTGATCCTAACACAGCACTCTTAATACAACTTCTCAGAGATGTATCCAAACCATACTGAATCAACAAGTACCAGGCAAAATCCAATTGCAAATATTGTGACATTTGTACAAGTTAACAGCACAGTCCTACTTATACATGCCAAAATAGAATGGAACTTCCAGTTTCAACCTAGTCGAGTAATGTCTTAGCTTTAGAACAAGCAGATGCTACAAATGGTTATACTTAAGTAATTACACTAGCATGGACAGTAAACCAAAACACAATAAGATGATATCGCTAATAAACAACAAGGGATCAACCCTTTACAATTTCATAACTCAAATTACATTACTCAAACCAAGTTTAGCCCAAAACTCCATTTTCTATTCATAGTGTGAAGAGATGTACCTGGAGATCAATGAAATAAGAAAAATGAAGAATCAGCAGTGATAGCAACAGGCAATCAGCAACAGTTTTCAACCAGTTCCAAACCCAGAAAAATAAAATAACAGCCCAGGAAAACAGTTTCAATCCAAGCAAATGAACTAGAAGACCTTAACCTGACTTGACTTCAACTCATTTCAACTATCAGCTATCCAGAAATTGTTTCAGCCTTAAGGAAACTTCGGAAATCACCAGAAACCCAATGAAACGATGTTATTCTTTAGAATTCTCCAAATGTTCTCCTCTTCTCTTAGGTCTGTATGTGTGTATGTACACTATCTTTTTTTTCCAGAGTATTAGACTGCGGTGTATATGAACTCAGTGCCTATCTCCTTGTCTTTCAGAATGTTCTCCCCTTTCTTCTGATTTTCTACCCCCTTAAATGGGCATCTAATTAGTGCATTTTCAACTACAACTTATCTTTTCCATATTTTAATCCCACTTAACTTAGTGTTTTTAATTTAATTCAGTAGAGCCCTTTCTAAACCTTATCACTTATTAACAGCCACCTAATTCAGTTATTGAGGTTCCCTTAGGTTAGACTACCCAAATTACCCCCATGACCCTATTATTATTTCAGAAAATCACAATGGGTCAAGTTGACCCAAGCAGGTGAACAAATTCTTTGGGCCTTCATTGAAACTAGGTTAGAAATGAATCCCCAAATCAAGTTAACCAATCGATCCATGATAAAACAGAATAGAAAACCAATTTGAATGGTTTCAAACCAAAACCTAATTAAATTACTGACTTTAAAGCTAAACTAATGAACCAGAATTAACTAAAATATCAAGTCGAGACAAGACTAATTAACAATAAGATAAAAAATCAGAAATTCAAAAATCATGAATGACAATTAAGCAAGGTGAACAAATAATCTAACAAAATCAGAGATTAACGTTCTAAAAACTAGAAGACGAAACTGAAAGGCCAAAGAAACAATTATAAATGCAAAACTAATCGTAAAAAAAACCTAAGTTCAGAAATTAAAACCAATCAACAATACTAACAAAAATATAAGAAAAGGGGTGAATAGATGGTAAAACAAACACAGACAGCAAAAGAGAACGAATACTTACCAATATTAGCTTGAAACCAAACGCCGGATGTCCTGATTTCACGAAACTGATGATGACCGCTTGTTCTTTGTCAAAAACAAATGAAAACCATCAATTTCACGTGAATCAGCTTTCTAAATCATAAAATGGAAATCTGGATCATGCATGCCATGGATTTAACGGAAATTAACTTTGGGGTTTATGGATTTGAACTTTAGATCTAAAATTCGAGAGGTTTGGGCAAGATTCAAGGGAAAGTAGTTATGGATTTGAAAAGAGGGGGTCGTGGTGGTTTTGGGATGTAATTTTGGAAGGGATTGGACCACCGGAACCACCGTGAGGCGATTTTTGGTGGGCGGAGGGCGGTGGTGTGAGGCAGCGTTACATTGGGTCTCTGAAGAGATGGGGGGAATGAAATGGGAAGGGCCGGGTTTGGGGGGGTTTGATATATTAAAATGTTTGATTTAATTAGGGCCGTTGGATGATTGGAATCCAACGGCTCAATATTAAATCATAAATGGAAACGGGGTCGTTTTGGTTTCAACTGGGGCGGTCCGGGTGTGGGAACGGGTCGGGTTGTGAGGAAGGCTTTGGACCGTTCGATCGGGCTGATTCAACGGTCCAGATTGAAATGCCTGAAACAGCGTCGTTTGGTTGAGGCCGGAGACGGACCGGGTATTTTCCTGGTTTTGGGTTGGACTGGGGTAAAAAATTGGTTTGGGCTTGGGGATTATATTGAATTGGCCCAATTCCGATTTCCTTCTCTTTTATTTAATTCTTTTCCTTTTCTTTTCTTACTTTTTCTTTCAAAATTTGAACTTAAAATCCTAATTAAATTTTAAAAACCAAACCAGCTAAAAATACTAATTAGCTCTACATAATAATTATCACAAATAATTAATACCAAATTAAAAGAAAATCGCAAAATTTTGACATTAAACACTAAAATGCAAAAAATACGTTATTTTTTTGTGAATTTTTCGTTTTTGTAAAATAACATTTTACTAAATTAACCAAAAACTATAAAATCAAATCCTAAGTGCAGATGCTATATTTTTTGTATTTTTTAATGCATTAATAAAATTAAATATGCACACAAAAATACCCAAACAATACGGAAAATCGCACAGTAATTCCTAGAATAACGCATAATTAAAGAAAAGATCTAATTTTGGGAATTTCTTTTGGAGTAATTCGTGTGAGGCAAAAATCACGTGCTCACAGCAGCAGGTACACATTGTAGATACTACCAATGGGGGCTTGTGCGCATCTTGCATTAGTCAGGAAATTGGTAACCAGTGGAATGCAGAACATGATCATCATCACTACCCTGAAGACATGAACTATGTGTATAATTATGGAGGCCAGAGACAGGGTGGTCAGAATTGGGTTCTGCAAAATCAGCAGTACAGGCCAGTCCAGCCACAATTCAACAATGGAAACATGGGAGGTATGAGACCTCCTAACAATATGACACCTTATCCAAGGCCACAGGGATATAATAATCAAAATCAGCAGCAGGGCTATCATCCGCCTCAGCAGCAGCATGGTGGAAGACAGGAAGATATGTTTGCTAGACTTGAGGCAATGATGCAGCAGGTTATTGGGTTTAATGCAAAGATTAATGAGAGAGTAGATGCACATGATGCAACAATCAAGAATATTGAAGTGCAGGTGGGCCAAATTTCTATGTCTCTAAGCAATCATCCTCATGGGACACTACCTGCAGACACGTAGATAAATCCAAAAGATCAAGGCCCAAAGCAGCTGATGGCGGTGAGTCTACGTAATGGCAGAGATCTGGATGTAGAGCAAGAGAGGGCTCAAGAAACTAGACAGGCTGAGACACTTATACCAGTGCCTATTGAGCTGGATGAGTCAACGAAACGGATAGAGGTGACAGTCCAGCCTGCCTAGGAAGAAAATAGCATTCAGAATGAGACCGAGAAAGAAGCTGAGACATCCATGAACCAGTAGTTGATGTAGCAGCTGATAAGAATCAATCCCAATTGATTGGAAAGAAGAGACCTCCTGCACCTTTCCCTCAGAGGCTGGCTAAGTACCAAAAGGAGGAGCAATACAAGAAGTTCTTTGAAATGCTGAAACAAATCCAAGTAAACATACCATTGATTGAAGCTTTGAAAGAGATGCATGAGTATGCAAAAATGATGAAGGACTTGATGTCCCGAAATTTTGATTTCCAAGACTTGGCCATAGTTACTCTTACTCAAACCTGTAGTGCAGTGGTGACAAGACCAATTGCAGAAAAGCTGTCTGACCCAGGGAGCTTTACAATTCCATGCACTATTGGTAATTTTACTTTTGCTAAAGCACTGTGTGATCTAAGGGCCAGCATCAATCTTATGCCCCTGGCGATTTATAAGAGGCTGGGCATTGGAAGAGATAGACCCACCTCTATGTTGTTGCAGCTGGCTGACAGGACTGTGAAATGATCCTCAGGTATCCTGGATGATGTGCTAATTCAAGGTAGGGAAATTTGTATTCCCTGCAGATTTTGTGATCTTAGACTGCAAAGTGGATGAAGAGATTCCCAAAGACCATTCTTTGCCACAGGGAGAGCTCTCATTGATTGTGAAACCGGGGAGCTCAAGATGAGATTGAACGATGAGGATATAACATTAAATGTGTAGAAATCTATGAGGTGACCAAGTGAATTCGCCAATTGCTCTCTTATTGATGTCATGGATGTAATCATAGAGACTGATGATGAGATGCTGACCATTGAGGACCCTCTTGCTGCATGTTTGATGAATTTGGATGAGGTGAATGGAGAGGAACTGGCTGAATGGGTGTTGGCGTTAGAGGGTAGAGGGTTCTGGGATAGAAATCTAGAATTTGAGCCCTTGCACTTGGAAAATCGAGAGACTCCTCCAGCCAAGCCATCCATCGAAGAACCACCAAAGCTGGAGTTAAAGTCATTGCCCGCCCATCTTAGGTATGAATTCCTTGGACCTGACTCCACATTACCTGTTATTATCTATCTAGTTTGTTAGATGTGCAGGCTCAACGACTCTTGCATGTACTTAAGGAGTGCAAGACTGCCATTGGGTGGACCATGGCAGACATAAATGGTATCAACCCTGCCTACTATATGCAAAAAATTCTACTGGAAGAGGGACACAAACCTTCCAGGGAACATCAAAGAAGGTTGAACCCTAACATGAAGTAAGTGGTGAAGAAGGAAGTAATAAAATGGTTAGATGCGGGAATTATTTTCCCAATCTCTGATAGCAGCTGGGTTAGCCCAGTTCAATGTGTACCTAAGAAGGGTGGCATGACGGTAGTTAAGAATAACAACAATGAATTGATCTCTACAAGAACCGTCACGGGCTGGAGAATTTGCATGGATTATAGAAAGTTAAATCTAGCCACTCGGAAAGACCACTTCCCACTTCCCTTAATTGATTAGATGTTAGACAGATTGGCAAGGAGGTCACACTTCTATTTTCTGGATGGGTACTCAGGGTACAACCAGATCTCCATTGCACCTGAGGACAGAGAGAAGACCTTTTTCACTTACCCATATGGCATTTATGCCTTTCGAAGGATGCCCTTTGGCCTATGCAACGCACCCGCCACATTCCAATGGTGCATGATGACCATCTTCACTGACATGGTAGAGGATATAATGGAGGTGTTCATGGATGACTTCTTAGTGGTGGGGAACTCATTTGATGAGTGCCTGATAAATCTGACTCGTGTGCTGAAACGATGTATCGAGACTAACCTGGTTCTGAATTGGGAGAAGTGTCATTTCATGGTACAAGAGGGCATAGTCTTGGGGAACCGGGTGTCAAGCAAAGGAATTGAGGTAGATCGTGCTAAAGTGGATGTGATAGCAAAGCTACCCCCTCCAACTTCAGTCAAAGAAATCAGGAGCTTCCTCCGACATGCCGGTTTCTACCGGAGATTCATAAAAGACTTCTCAAAAATTGCCAACCCTCTCTGTAAGTTGCTAGAAAAGATCACCCTTTCTTGTTTTTTGATGATTGCAGGATAGCATTCGAGGAGCTGAAAAGGAGGCTGGTCTCAGCACCTATCATAGTTGCCCTTGACTGGGAGCAGCCATCCGAACTCATGTGTGATGCCAGTGACTACGCAGTAGGGGCATTGCTGGGACAGAGGAAGGACAAGTTGATGCATCCAATCTACTATGCTAGTAGAATGCTGAGTGGAGCCCAGCCGAACTATACTGTGACTGAGAAGGAGATGTTGGTTGTGGTGTTTGCTTTCGACAAGTTCAGATCATATCTGATTGGTTCTAAGGTAATTGTATACATTGATCATGCAGCTCTCAGTTACTTGATTGAGAAGAAGGAGTCTAAGTCATGCCTGATTCATTGGGTGTTGCTGCTGTAAGAATTCGACCTTGAAATTCGTGACCGTAAGGGCACAGAGAACCAAGTCGTTGATCATCTATCACGACTTGAGGGAGCTAAAAATGCAGTTGAGGTTGAGGATATTCTGGAAACCTTTCCAGACGAGCAGCTGCTCGCTACTAGTCTGTAGGAAGCACCATGGTATGCAGACTTTGCAAATTACCTGGCTTGTGGTATAGTTCCCTATAACCTTTCATTTGTACAAAAGAAAAAGTTTTATCGTGACTGCCGCATGTATTATTGGGATGAGCCTTACCTGTTTAGAATATGTGTTGACAATATAATCCGGAGGTGTGTCCCCGAGATAGAACAATCTTCTGTTTTGTAGGCTTGTCACGCATCGGCGTATGGAGGACATTTTGGAGGGGTCAGGACAGCTGCGAAAGTGCTTGAGGCCGGATTCTTTTGGCCAATAGTGTTTAAAGATACGCACCAATGGGTGAAGGGCTGCAATGAATGTCAGCGGATCGGGAACATTTCCCGTCGCCATGAGATGCCCATGAACCCAATTCAAGAGGTAGAAGTGTTTGATGTCTGGGGGATTGACTTCATGGGTCCCTTCGTCAGATCCTATGGAAATAAGTACATACTTGTTGTTGTGGATTACGTGTCCAAATGGGTAGAAGCTGCAGCGTTGCCCATTAATGATGCAAGAGTGGTGGTAGGATTTTTGAAGAATAACATATTCACCAAATTTGGGACACCAAGAGCGATTATCAGTGACGGAGGCGCTCACTTCTGTAATAGAGTTCTCGAGAAATTGCTTGCAAAGTATGATGTACGCCACAAGGTGGCTACCCCTTATCACCCACAAACTAGTGGGCAGGTTGAAGTGTCCAACAGAGAGATAAAGAGTGTGCTAACTAAGACTGTGAACGCCACAAGAACTGATTGGGCGAAAAAGTTAGATGATGCACTCTGGGCCTATAGAACTGCTTTTAAAACATCGATTGGTATGTCACCATATAAGTTGGTGTTCGGGAAGGCCTGCCATTTGCCAGTGGAACTCGAAAATAGAGCTTAGTAGGCACTAAAATAGCTGAATCTAGACATCGAGGCTGTGGGCACAACGAGAATCACAAAATTGCATGAGCTCGACGAGTTCAAACATCTTGCTTTTGAGAGCACAAGGTTGTACAAGGAAAGAATGAAGATGTTGCACGACAAGAACATTGTGGAGCAAAATTTCAATCCAGGAGATATGGTGTTGCTTTATAACTCATGATTAAGGCTATTTCCGGGTAAACTCAGGTCACGATGGTCTGGGCCATTTCAAGTGGTCGAAGTATTCCCTTCAGGTTCTGTAGAGATTGCTGCAGAGAAAGACTCTCGTACATTTAGAGTCAATGGGCAGAGATTGAAACTATATGTGGGCATGAATGAACCAAAGGAAGTGTCTGAGATCCGCTTGACCAAACCTCAGAGGTCGAGCGAGCCTTAAATGCGCTCATCTGTGTCGTGCCGCGACGTTAAATCAGGCGCTTATTAGGAGGCAACCCAATTGTTAACCTCACTAACCCATAATTATAGTTTAGGATTATTAGAATTTAGGAGTTATGAGACTTTATTGGGCAGGCACAAGCATGAATTAAACATAAAATAAGTACATAATAGAGTCTGGGTGCAACCCGAAAGCTAAATGACGAAAATAAATCGAACTCTGTAAAAATGGCCTATTGTGCCGCATGGGGTGCCGTGCTATGCGCCGCGCCAGGCCAAACGAGGCTGAAGGACAAAAAGTGAGAGTCTCTGATGTTTTCCACTACCGCGCCGCATGGGGCACTGCACCCTACGATGCGGCAGTGCAAATCTATTTAAAAAAAATTATCTTTTTTTTTCTACACTCTCTGCCAAGCGACC